AAGACCGAAACAAAGAAGTCATTAAGCATCTCTGCCATTTCCAAGTTTCCTGTTACTGTTTCTCCCTCCTCACTGACTAGTGGGCCTACCCTCTCCTTGGTCTTCCTCTTGCTTCTAATGTATTTATAAAAAGTCTTCTTGTTTCCCTTTATTCCTGTAACTAGTTTGAGCTCATTTTGTGCCTTTGCCTTTCTGCTCTTGCCCCTGCATTCCTGTGTTGTTTGCCTATATTCATCCTTTGTAATTTGTCCTACTTTCCATTTTTTATAGGACTCCTTTTTATTTTTAGATCATGCAAGATCTTGTGGTTAAGCCAAAGAGGTCTTTTGCCATATTTTCTATCTTTCTGATGCAGCGGAATAGCTTGCTTTTGGGCCCTTAATAATGTCCCTTTGAAAAACTGCCAACTCTCTTCAGTTGTTTTTCCCCTCAGTCTCAATTCCCATGGGACCTTACCTATCAGCTCTCTGAGCTTACCAAAATCCGCCTTCCTGAAATCCATTGTCTCTATTTTGCTGTTCTCCCTTCTACCCTTCCTTAGAATTGTGAACTCTATGATTTCTTGATCACTTTCACCCAAGCTGCCTTCCACTTTCAAATTCTAAACCCTATTTGTTAGGATCAAATCTAGATGCTGTTGTTTTGCATAAGTCACTTCCCTCTGAAAACTAAAAAGTTATGTTGCTTATCTTTGAGTCATGCTTGCTTACTTATAGTATTTTGTCATGGCACTTGTTTACCATCCTTTATCTTCCATAACAGAGGACATATCAGTTATGTATTTACATAATAGCTGCATAAGAACATAACAATGACTATACTGGGTCAGAGTAAAGGTCCATCTAGCCCATTGTTCTGTCTTCCAACAGTGGCCAATGCCAGGTGCCCCAGAGGGAATGAACTGAACAGGAAATCTTCAAGTGACACACCCCTTGTCACTCATTCCCAGCTTTTGACAAACAGAGTCTAGAGAAACCATTCCAACCCATCCTGGCTAATAGCCATTGATGGACTGAGCCTCCATGAAGTTCTAGTCTTCACAACATCCTCTGGCAAGGAGTTGACTGCATTGCATGAAGAAGAACTTCCTTTAATTTGTTTTAAACCTGCTATATATTAATTTCATTTGGTGACCCCTGGGTTTTGTGTTATAGGAACAAGTAAATAACGTTTCCTTATTCACTTTCTCCGTACCAGAAATGATTTTATAGATCTCTGTCATACAGTTGACTCTTTTCTAAGCTGAAAAGTCCCAGTCTTATTAATCTCTCCTCGTATGGCAGCTATTCCACACCCCTAATCATTTTTGTTGACCTTTTCTGAACTTTTTCCAATGCCAAGATATCTTTTTTGAGATAAAGTAACCACATCTTCATGCAGTATTCAAGATGTGGGCAGACCATAGATTTATATAGAGGCAATAAGATATTCTCTGTCTTACTCTCTATTCCTTTCTTAATGGTTCCTAACATTCTGTTTGATTTTTTGACTGTTGCTGCACACTGAGTCGATGTTTTCAGAGAATTATCCACAATGACTCGAAGATCTCTCTCTTGAATGGTAACAGTTAATTTAGTCCCCATCATTTTATATGTATAGTTGGGATTATGTTTCCCAATATGAATTACTTTGCATTTATCAACATTAAAATTCTTCTGCCACTTTGTTGCCCAGACATCTAGTTTTGGGTGATCCTTTTGGAGCTCTTCTCAGTCGGCTTTGGACGTAACTATTTTGAGCAGTTTTGTATCATCTGCAAATTCTGCCATCTCACTTTTTACCCCCTTTTTCAAGATCATTTATGACTATGTTAAATAGCTATCTCTCTCCATTTTGAAAACGTACCATTTATTCCTATCCTTTGTTTTCTATCTTTTAACCGGTTATCCATCCATGAAAGGACCTTCCCACTTATCACATGATACCTTATTTTGCTTAAGGTCCTTTGCTGAGGAACCTTGTCAAAGACTTTCTGGAAATCTAGGTACACTATTTCCACTGGATCCCCTTGTCCACATACTTGTTGACCCCCTCAAAGAATACTAGTAGATTGATGAGGCATGATTTCTCTTTACAGAAATCATGCTGACTTTTCTTCAAAAGAAGATAAGTTCATCTATGAGTCTCACAATTCTGATCTTTATTATGTAGGTGTTGAGTCTTAAATATCATTGTAGACTATGTAAGTGACACATTTTATTTTGCTTTTGTCCCCTAGACAATTGATTTTTTAAATGACAATATCCGAAGAGGAATTCAGAATTACTATGATGATCTGGACTTCAAAAACATAATGGATTTTGTTCAGAAGCAGGTTTGTTATTATGGGAGGGTTTACTTAAAACGAATGTTACAATGGAACATGAGGTAACCCTCTGAATGTTACATTCAAGAATAAGTATTATGGAGTTTATTGTTCAATTGGTGTGTTGATCTAACTCCCATTAACAGGGGGAACAGATTCCCTTTGGTGAACTGGAGAATCAGATTTGGTGCTAGCAGGGATCTTATGGAATTCTAGTTGGCCTTTAAAGCCCTTTTCTCCGCACAGGTGTGAGGAGTGCAGACTGCAACTTTTACACCTTTGAATGTGAATCCAAGATTAAGTGAGGACCAAAGCCTATTGCAGTTAAAGCCTATGAAGTATTTTACTTTAAAAAAAATCTCATTTATTCCTGAAATGCTAACTGAAGGAAGTAGATCTGTTACTGATATTCAGAAATTATCTTGAGTATAGCTGACCAATATTGAATAGCATATGGAGTTGACTCGTGGCCTTTTTAAAAGCTGCTGTGTTAAAATATTTATTGGATTATTTAAGAATTCTCTCACATAATTTTGAAGAAATAGAAAGTGTTCAGATGTTTGAAAAGGAGCCTATACAACTTATAGCTGTGCTAAACACTTTTAAATAGACAGCATATTGAAGTTGTGTCCTGCTCTTCAGGACCAGGATTCTTTAGATATTTTAATATTCTCTCTGTTTTGAGTGGTACTGTGATATAAGCATATGCATACACACATACCTGCTAATCAAAACAAAGCTGATAGTCACATGTTATTTCCAGTTTCAACACTACCCCTTAATGGCATATTTACATTAATAGCAAACTGATTCTTTCAGTTTAACTTTTCCTTCCTGGTCAGTCGAATAGAAGCTTTTCTTTGGATACACTTTTATAGACAAAATATAGTATTGAACTGTCTCAACAAACATAATTTTGAGAGATTTTCCTCTTTCATTTTGCCTCTAATCCTTTGGTTTTACTGGTTTCTATAAAAGATGTTTGAGCTTTTTACTTGAAATGTTGTATCTGATTGGACACATTTTAAATCTAATTTTTCATTTCACTGCTGCATACTTTATTTGTGGATTTGACTATAATTTTAGATCATGCTCTTTTATAACTGTTGCTAATGAATGTATGGTATGATAAACAGACTCCATAATAGCTGCTGCCTCTTGCCTCCCTAATACAGTAAACTTCCGATAATCCGGCACCTTTAGGACCCAGGGGGTGCTGGATTATCAGATATGTCGGACTATCAGAAGGGGGGGCTATGAGGGGTCTGGAGTGGGGTGGGAGGGGATGCCACCCCAAACCTCTCATAGCCCCCCCTTACGATAGTCTCGCTCTGCCCCAGGCGTCCCTGATTCAGCCGCTGCTGGTCAGTTTCAGCAGCAGCTGAATCGGGGATGGCTGCAATAGAGCAGCTGGGGTGCTGCCGGGTTGGTCCCGCAGCGCTGAGAGGCGGCGCTACGGCACCAACCCAGCAGCACTCCAGCTGCTCTGCCCCGG